TCTAATTTCAAGCTGCACTGACCATGTGATTACAGTGGAATGTTTTAATAAAGCTTCCCTCAGTCTGCAGGGTGCTTCTGAAATGAAGATGTCCAATTTCAGAGCATTTAGGAGAATTGTAGATTCCTTATAGGTGTCTAGTTAAAATTCATGAAGATTAGGATGTCATTATTCTTGGAAGTAGAAAAATATCATATTTACATAAAAATGGAGGATTGTTTCCTGACATCTGAAAAAGCTGAAGATAATGATTCAGAACATCTACTCTTTTTGAAGAGGAAGACAACACCTGTGTTTTTCCGAGGAAAATATGATCCCCAGTGCTTCAGGATCCATAAATACTGACATGTGCAAACCCTAGAATCCACACATTTTCTGAGTAGTCAGAATTTGATTTGTATTAATTTTTTATTTTGCAGGCTACACACAATAGGAAACATTGCTGAGCCTCTCAGAAAATTCTATGAACAGGATTAACTTTTAATTAAAATAAAGTGTCTCATGAACTAAGTTCAGAACAGCCTGCTGCAACTATATAAAGCTGACTTCCTCATTCTTACTCAAATCTATTTGCAAATAAGCAAAGTACTAAATGAATACTACTGCACCTTGCACAGTAGCTAGAAAGTCCTCAATAAGTATTTGCTGAATGAATGGATAATTAAGAATCTTAGCAGGAGTTAAGAACTGCTACTTACATGTTTATCTTTTATTTCTACTCTGTGTATATTTTTTAATGTTTAATACTGAATTCTTAGTTTGTTATTCATATAGATAAAACCATTTATGTTGTAATGCAGTGGTTCCATAAATTGATCCCATGCACTAGGAAGCATGTTCACAAGGTAGATTCCCAGACCACCCACAGAATGATGATTTAGTTGACTTAGAATGGAAGTAACTTGGTAATCTGTACTAAATTTTAAAGCTCTCTGAGTGACCTTGATATCAGCTGAGTGTGAGAACAATTTAACATGTGGTGAATATAGAAAAAAATCTGTAATACACAGAAACTCAAAGTTGAAAGGGACTTTAAAAGTTATCTAGTCAAGCTAAATAGGACTAATTGCTCAAAATCTCATCAGAATCTAAAAGGGAAGTTATCACGGCTTTTTTTCAAGTAGCCTGGAAATAATTAGACTAATAAATATTTAAACTATAAAACTTGAATTTTAGGTAATATCTAATAGAGTTGAAGACACTTAAAGAACATGTTACTAGAGCTGACTAGTATCTAGTTCTCTCCTTCCTAGGTACACAGAAGGCTATTTATGCTTGAAATTAGGTGGGGCTGAGGGAAGTGACATGTGTCACTTCTGAACCACAGCACAGAAGAATGGTTCTGAGCTCTCTCTTCACTGTCCTCCCCCACTGCAGCAATCACCCAGGCCTCTGGTTAAGCTGGTGAAGCCAGAAGACTGAAGCAGCCGGGACCACTGAGTCATCCAGTCCACAACAGACTGTATGAGTGAAAAATAAACATTTACGAGTTGAACCACTCAGATTTGGGGATTAATTTGCAACTACATTATTATCTGCTCTGTCCTGATTATGACATATTCATTTCCTAGAATGTCATAGTTATCCTCCTACCTTAGAGAATTTCTCTGCACAAGAATGATTGCAGCAGCATTGCAGGTTGTAGCTAAAAACTGGAAATAATCTTAATGTCTATCAGTATAAGAATTGTAATATATATCACTACTTGTGATCTATCACATTACAATGTATCACATCTCAATGGAATACCATTTGAGATTTGGGATAAATCTCAAAAACATATTATTTAATAAAGTAGTAACTTGCAAAAGGAAATGTAGGGCATGATCATTTTTATATAGTTTTAACAAATTTGACTGTATGGGTGCATAAACATCTAGTAAAAGGATAAAAACATGTAGAGTGATAAATACCAAATAAGTATTAGTGGCTACATTCTGGGAGAGAGAAAGGAGAATTAGATTAAGAAGAGGAACGTAGGGGACCACAACTTTATCTAATCTATAATTGTTTTTATTTTAAAAAAAGATACAAGGTAAATATAATAAAATAAGAACCAATAAAGAAAAAATTCAGGTTCTAGTTCTTAGTTGAAAGAGATGTCCAGATGGCATTTCCACTTAAATTTCTAACAGAAACTATATATGAGAAGGGCTATTTTAATGAATAGAGAAGAAATTTGAGGTCAAGTTCACCCTAAGAGGGCAGAATGGAGCCACAGAACACCAGGAATGCTCAGGAATTAGAGATACCTGGTATCTTGGAAAGAAGGGTGAGAGGTTGTATTAAAAATTAGAGGACTGGGCTGGACACAGTGGCTCAACGCCTGTAATTCTAGTGCTCTGGGAGGTCGAGGCAGGAGGATTACTCAAGGTCAGGAGTTCGAGATCAGCCTGAGCAAGAGTGAGACCCCAGTCTCTATTAAAAATAGAAAGAAATTAATTGGCCAACTACAAATATATAGAAAAAAAATTAGGCATGTGCCATGCTTGCATGGTGGCGCATGCCTGTAGTCCCAGCTACTCGGGAGGCTGAGGCATAAGGATTGCTTGAGCCCAGGAGTCTGAGGTTGTTGTGAGCTAGGCTGACACCACAGCACTCTAGCCCAAGCAACAGAGTGAGACTCTGTCTCAATCAATCAATAAAAAATAAGAGGACTGGTTGAAAGTCTGTGTAAAAAGTAGCAAATTCCCATCAAATTTCTACCCCTTCTGGCCCCACTCCTCAATACTACACAGCCAGATGATCACTCTTCTCTGGGCCCACTAGAAAATGAGAGGTTACTCTCTAGTCAAACTCATCAGAAAGTCTCTGAACTCAGAAACATCAAGTAAAGGTAGGGGTAGGGGCCCTGAATAAAAATGAGATTTTTTTTTTCCCAAGCCAAACTGTATCCAGCTTTAGTAAAGATGAAAATGAAGAGATTAACCAAAGTCTACACTAAATTATTGGACTCCCCAACATACTTCTTCTGGTCAAAATTCACATAGTTTTTGACCCAACAACTACCTCTTGTATAAAAGAAAGAACCCAGGAACCAGCCTGTGCATACTTGGAAATTTCATTTTTGACAATGCTGGGATTATAGGTCAGTAGGGACCCAGTAAATGGTCCTCAGACAGTTATTATTCAAATCGGGGTTGGGGGAGAGAGAGAGAGAGGAAGAGAGAGACAGAATTGGATATTCTATATCACACCATGAACAAAAATCCATTCCAGATAATTAAAAACATATATGAAAGGGACATCTTCAAAACTTAAAGGAAAAAAAAGGAGAAAACCACTACAATGTTGAGGCAGGCATAGCCTTTTTTTAGTACAACATAAAAAACACTAACCAAAAAGAGAAAAGATTAACAAATTTAACAACAAATAATGGATTATAAGCAATAGATAAATAGCACTACAGAACACAGTGGGAGCTGAGGGAGTATATTTTCACCCAACAAGAAGAAAGCAATGGGAAACTGAAGGAAAAATAATAACAACCCAAACTGTACAACAAAGTCAACCCAGTTAGAAAACCAATGGGCATGATTTTGAGCAATCAATGGTACATAAGAAAGAAGAGCCCAGTGAACACTGATGAGAGAATAAAACTGCACAGAGATCGTGACAGTAAACTACACAAAAGAATACACAGAATCACAGCACACTATTTGTGTAATGAATGATTTTAACTGTAAATGTTGTTATTTGGTTTTCAACTTTTAGAGGTAACCCCTAATAAATCTCAGAAGACTTAGTTATGGTCATAGAAGAAAACAGAAATACTATCAGTTTTGACAATAAAAAAGTAAGGGCATGGATGGCAGAAGTTAGGAGGCAAGCAGAGACAGAAATAGAAGGTACTAATTTTCTCAGTTTACCCAGCTGAATAGGAAAGAAGTTACAAGAAATAGAATTTTAAGAATATTATTTAAGGTAACCAATTAAAAAATGGTGATATAATTATGAAAACCTGGGATGGGTTGGTATGTAGAGTTATAAATGAGGTTTATTCCTTACCACTACGAAAGGAATCCAATAATATCTAAAACCACTAAGGCAAGAAATAGCACACCAAACATATTATTTAGAGATATAACTACTAATAATCCCAAAGGATGGCGAAATGTGGGAGGGTGTGTTGCATTCATTATAAGCTATTCTATATGACTGAATTTTTAATTTGTATGCACATATTATTTTAATAAATATAAAAGGTTTTTAAATAATTGAAAGAAAAAAGATCAAGAGTCCCAAGAGGTCATTCAGTCAAACTACCTTCTAACAGCTAAGTAAAAGAAAATGGATGTCCACTCCAACAAAAATCTTCTAAATACCTGATAAAGACGAATGATCCACAACTCTACCAACTTACCCAGCAGAGCAAACTTAGTATCATCATTTAATTCAGAGTGAAGAAATAAGTTTAGAGACTGAATCTTATCCTTGTTTTTCTTCCTTTTTATCCTTCCTCTTTTCTCTATTTCTCTAATTTTTTGTTCCCCTCTACCCTTGCTTTATTTAGCAAGAATATTCCAATATATATGTATATATATATATATATATATCTCACACTCTAGTTTTCTTTGTAAAATACAGTCTTAATTTTCTGATTTTCTTTCTATACAAAAAGAAAATTAAGTTGATTTTCATTTCCATGTTGTCTAAATTAAGTCTTGATGGGCATTACTACTGTAGAGAAGAAATGATCTCTACCACTGATTTAAAGCAAGAACACACAAACAACAAAAGGCAATTCAGCTAAAACTAGTACAATAATTACTCTTCAATGGATTCATGTTTCTGGAGACTACCATATACTTAGGCTTTAGGAATCAGGAGCCAGGTTTCCATGTAGATATTTAAGGTGATTTAAAGAGAGGGAAACTTGAAGTCTAAGTTCCCCAAAAGGAAACTAAAAACCAGAAATTTAAATGTTCATGTTTGTTGATACTCAGTTTTTATCCAAAGGACCCCATTTTAGCAGGATCCACATCCAGGTGTATACTTACACTATATGTGCAAGGTCAAGTGGTTTCTCTGGTTGCTCAGGAAAAACAGGATGCGGGGGTTCTCTCGTGGGTACACACCCCAAAGACTTACTAATTGCATGGCTCAGCTTCTTTGCAGGGGATTTCTGTGTCAAAGCAGAAAATAAGGAAATAAGGAATTAACTTTTCAAAAGAACTTAGTGACAAGAGTGTAGAAAATATCCTTTCAAATATAAATCAAGTTTCATAATAGTCAATATTATTGGGTCTTGCAGAAAGGAACCTGCAATTGCCCCAAGGTCATTTGTAGTTCCTTCATTTCTGCAATTTCTACATCATTTCTATTACAAAGTCACACTATCAAGTAATGTTAACTTCCTTTCTGGACATCTCTATGTACTCTTTGCATGAACTCTCCCTTTTGATGCTTCTGAGTCATTTCTGGTAAGATGTTAAAGTTAATTCCTCAATCAGAGTCAGAACTTTTTGATGGGCTATAATACTAAAAGCTAAGAGGACATGGCTTACATATATTAGCAAATTAGCTGACTAAGCTACATCCCAAAATGTTAGGATATCCCCAAATGTGAGGCAGAACATTTATATTAAGTGTCTGGCTCTGTAGACAGATACAGTGTCACTCACATACATAGGCAGTCAGCCCCAGAACCATGACTCTCTATTATGATACACTAAAGGCACAAAAATAAGTTGGCATATCAATGCATTTCTCTGGAAGGTAGAGTAATATACACCGAATCCAAAGACTACTTAGATCTAATAGTAAATATGCAAAAAAGTAAACAATATGCCACAATGAAGTTAAATAGAACATTCACTTTTAAAACCCATATTTAAAGGAGGCTTTTATATACAGATTATATTGTCCACCCAATTCCCTTAAAATAACACTGTTGTCTCAGATTTTCTTGGCAGGATATTAACTGCAAAAAAGTTTAAATACTTCATTCTACTGACTCTGCAGTTTATTACCATATGTGCCACTTTAATTGGAAAATAAAACTCATTTGCAGCCATGTGCCTCATCAACACCACGTCTCTGCTTGACTTTTATATGCTTCTTGCTGTAGTATTTTAACACAAAATAAACAAAACTCTGTTTGCCTTTAAGACCATATAAGCAAAGTAAATTAGTATTTGTTTATAATAAAAGCTGAATAATACAATTTTTTCATATACTTCACATACTGGCTCTAAATCACCTACCACTATCCCCTGCAACACATTAAATTGTGGGAAAAATCAAGATGTCATCTAATTTCCTGCAAATCATATAAAGCTAAACAAAGCAGAAATTCTGAACTTCTCCCCTAACTTCTTTCCATTTTCCCTCTATCCAATAACTAGCTGCAACATGACTATGATTCTTCCCTTTTAATCCACCTTCTGCACTGCCCTAGAGATCATGTCACTTTTCTGCTTAAAATCTTTCAAAGGCTGATAATCATTTATAGGATGAAATCTAAATAAATGCCTTCATTTTCCATACAAGAGCTTTCACACCTGGCTCCTGCTTCTCTTTCCTTTCACTTGTCTAAGTAATGAGCCGCTCACAGTTAACCCAATACACCACATTCTTTTAGGTCTCTGTACCTTGGCACGTGCCTTTCCTAGGTCTTCTTTCTCCAACCATATCTTTCTGTAAATTTTCAGCTCATATCTCAAGGCTACTTGTAAGTACCCCTTTCTCCGGGAACACTTTCCTCATTGTTCCTTAAGTCAGCAACTGCCTTTCCAAGGCTACCTATGTACCTTGTACATATTTCCACTGTTTCACTTGCCATGCTACGTTGCAATTTTTAATTTATTTGCTATCTCTGTTATACTGGTGCTTCCAAAGGGTTCTACATCTTATTTATCTTTGTATTTCCAGAACCTGTCCTACAATAGAATACATATTTGAACAAATTATTTGCCTAGATGAATTTTCCAGGTTGCTTTTTCGTAATCAAACCACATAAACTTTATTTTTTGAGAATTATAAGAGACAGAGAACATCAAAGAGAATATCTTAATTCATCTTTATAACACTACATCTATAATTCAGATATTAATTTAATAGCAGACTTTCTGCTATATATGAGAACCCCAGGACCATTAATGCATGTAATCTATGTGAGATGGATTATCACACACATTACTTTATCTCTATCCCAAGCAATAAGAGTGATGAAATCACAGGTTTCATGTGTATTTTTTATAATAAACATTAAAATAACTACATGACTATTAAATAAAAAATGTTTGCCTTTCTGCTACCTAATATTCTCTAGCAGTATGTTTGTGACGCTCTTGAAAATAGTGTTTTAAATCAAGGTCTAGATTTAGGATTAGATCCAATTTCAAGCCACAAAAATATAGATAGAAAGGTAAAATCAATCAATCAAATTGACATCAAGGTCAATTCTAAATAATTAAACCACATAAAGAGCTTGATTTGTATGGGAAGGAAAAAAAACTGGAATAAATACATATAAGAATTGGACTATTAACTAAAGTCTGGAATCAAACCAAAAAGGATATTACCCTTAAAATTTTAAAGCTATGCATTCAATTAGGTTGTCTAAACATATAAATGATTTTCTTAACAAGATCTCACAATACAGGTCTGAAGTGAATTCTGATAAGGTGTTAGTTTAGGAGGCTAACATTAACAAAGTTTCCAAGCATGATTTTGAAAAACACCCAAAGCGTCAAGACTTTGGAAAATACCAAAAGGACATCACCTCTTCTGTCTACTCAGCCCCAGGATGAGGTCCAGACTTAGGAGTCAATGACTATTTAAGGAAGTGAAGAAGGAGGGATCAAGAAGGAAAAGCAGTCCAGGTGTAGGAACTGGCATCTTCTACACTTCATTTAAGCTGCTTTGCCAGAGATGCTCCTTAAGGTCTCTGTACTTTCCCCCCACTTGGACTCTAAAACTCATGTAATGGAGAGGCCTTAACTTAGCAAATCAAATCTTCCCTAAATACTCTTAGGCAATAATTTTCAATCTTTTTGCATTTTCAATACTTTAATCCACTTTAACTAATTTCAAAACATTTCCTACCATTTCTTAAAAATACTACAGGTTATATTTTTTAAATATACAAGGAGGGTAATAAAAATGTGTATGTACCATTTAAAAAGTTACAAAACAAATGCCCAACTACCCACTATTCTGCCTGAGAAATAGAACATTAGTCACTCCAAAGCCTTGTTGTGGACCTTTACCCTAATGCTACATTCCATTCCCATGGTGCCTCCTCCTCCTCTCCTGATATTCACTGTCCTGGATTTTGTATTAATCATTTCCTTGATTTTATTATTTTAGCAATTATGTATGAATAATACATTATTTGGATATGTTTAAAAACTATATATACCTACATAAATGTATTCTTCTGCAGCTGGATTCTTTCACTCAAAGTTTTGTTACAATTCATCCATGTTGATGCCTATAATTGCAATTCACTCATTTTTTCATGGCTTGATAGTGTTATCATAATTTATATATCCACTTCATTGCTGATGAACATTTGGGTTGTTTCCATTTTTGCCCTATCAGTCACAATGCTGCTATAACTTTCTTGTCCATGTCTCTTAGTGGCCATCAGTTAGAATTACATAAGAGTGGAATTATTGGGTCATACAGTTATGCACAGTCAATTTTACTAAGCACTGCCAATTTGTTTTTACAAAGTGGTTACACTAATTTCCACTTCTGTGTGAGAAAGTTTCTTAAACTCCACATTCTCGCAGACATTTTAACATTCGCCATGCTGGTGGGTGATAAATAGTATTGTGGTTTTAATTTGTAATTCCCTGCTTATTAAAAAGATTGAGCATCTTCTCTTAAGTTTATGTTTCTTCTGTGAAATGCCTGTTCCTGTCTTTGCCATTGTGTTGCACTGGATTGCCTTTTTCTTATTGATTTGTAAGACCTCTTTGCATTGTTTTTATAGTTTAACTCTAGAAATGTTATGTCTTACAACATCTATTGAGGTTTATTTCTCTGTTATGTTTTTGATGAACATCTTTAAATATTGGTAGTCCCAATTTAGCAATCTTTTCCTTCCTGTTTTGTGCTTTTTGTATCTTAAGAAATATTTCCCTTCCTGAGGTCATAAAAATAATCTCCATTATCTTCTGAAGTTTTATAGCTTTTACCTTTCATATTTAAGTTTGAATCTACTTAGAATTGAATTTTTGATCAGCATAAGGAAAGAATTCAATTTTATCCTTTATGGATAATGAATTGTCTCTGAATCATTTAATAAATAGTCCATTCTTTCCCACTAGCCAGATACTCTATTACTATCCCTGTAATAATATCAGCTATTTAATTACTCCAGCTTCCTCTTATCTTTTCAAGTACTGCAACTGCCCCAAACTTATGTTCTTTGGGGATTACCTTCATTGTTCTTGGCCCTTTGCTCTTCCACTTAAATTTTAGAATGATTTTGTCATTTACCACAAAAAAAATCCTGTTGGGATTTCAATGGGAGTTGATCAAATCTACAGATAATTCTAGAAAGAACTGACATCTTTACATACTTAACATTACTTTCCATGAATGTGTTCATCTTCCCATGTATTTAAACCTTCTTTAATGTCTTTCAATAAAGTTTTAAATTCTTCTCCATAAAGGATCTATGTATCTGTTATTTATTCCTAGTTATTTTATAAATAGATTTTGTATCCAGCAACCTTGTTCTCTATTTTTTTTAGTTGTGGTAAAATATACATAACATAAAATTTACATCTCAATCATTTTTAAATGTACAGTTCAGTAGTGTTAAGCATAATCACATTATTGTGCAGCCAATCTCCAGAACATTTTCATCTTGCAGAACTGAAATTACATAATCATTAAACAACTGCCCTTGGCCCCTACCCCCAACCCCTGATGGACTTCTGGGTTGCTTCCACTTCTTGGCTACAATGTTGTTATGAACATGGGTATATAAGCATCTCTTGGAGACCCTGCTTTCTTTTTTTTTTTTTTTTTTGCTATATACCCAGAAGTGGAATTGTTGGATCATATGATAGTTATATTTTTAATTTTCTGAGGAACTGCCCATATTATTTTCCATAAAGGTTGTACCATTTTACATTCCACCAAAATTCACAAGGGTTAGGATCT